ACGAGGCTTTAATTTACCTTGGGGAGGTACGGCTTCTCCTCGTCGTCGAAAGCCCGCCGGATAACCCACTTCTCAATGCGGCCGTCCTCTTTGCGAATCATCTTATACTGAGGATCAATGCTCATTGCCACGTCCAGGAACTCCTTATCCAGGAAGGGAACACGCGCCTCCAGCCCCCATGCTGACGTGGCCTTGTTGGCCCTCAGGCAGTCGTACATGTGGAGCGCCTTGAGCTGATTGGAGGGATGGGGTTGGGTTGAGAGCGGTGAAGGGGTGGGAAGTCTTTAGTCAGTTGTCAGGAAAGGGGCGGACAAGAAAAGAGTGAAATAAATAGATTAGGGAATAGGCACACACACACCCACACACCCACCCACCCACCCACCCACCCACCCACCCACCCACCCACACCCACCCACCCACCCACACCCACCCACCCACACCACACCCACCCACCCACACACCCACCACAAATAACAAACTCTCATATGCACACACAGACCCACATATTCTCCCCTACCTTATGGCAGGTTTCCACGTGAAAGTCCTCCTTGCTGGGCGCCTTGTGAAAGTACAGGTAACCCCCAAACACCTCGTCGCTACCTTCCCCAGATAGCACCATCTTCACCCCCAGCGCCTTGATCTTGCGGCTCAGCAGAAACATGGGCGTGCTGGCGCGGATGGTGGTGACGTCATAGGTCTCCGTGTGGTAAATCACTTCGGAAATCGCGTCTATGCCCTCTTGTACAGTGAAGTGTAGCTCGTGGTGGTTTGTGCCGATGTAATCCGCGACTTCTCTCGCTGCCCGCAGGTCAGGAGCATTCTGAAATTTATAAAAAGGTGGGAGGATCGGAGACGTTAGGGGGAGAAATAGCAACAAAGAATGACAGATTCTTTGAACAACCATACAGACATAAGGTATATAATTACTCATACAAGACTACTAGATAAGATGCTGGAGTTGAAATCAGGGACTTACCTCGAGCCCAATGCAGTAGGAGTCGAGGCCCCCCGATAGAAGCCACCTTGATAGAAGCCCCTCCAATATAGCAGAACTCACCCCAATTACTCAGAATTCATTCCCAACGCACCTCGAGCCCAATGCAGTAGGAGTGGAGCTGCGGCCCCCACTGCTTCCCTGCCTCTGTGGAAGCCAAATGGCGCTGCGCGACGGCGGCGACGAGCGAGGAGTCGAGGATCCCCTGCCTACTCGGCGCGCAATGATTGCTAGTAAGGGCAACGCACCTCAAGGCCGATGCAGTAGGAGTGGAGCTGCGGCCCCCACTGCTTCCCTGCCTCTGTGGAAGCCAAATGGCGCTGCGCGACGGCGGCGACGAGAGACGAGTCGAGCCCCCCCGATAGAAGCACGCCGAACGGCACGTCCGTCATCAGCCGCTTCACGACGGCCTTCTCGAACGCGGCTCGCAGCGCGAGCGGGTCGTACGGCGCGGACGGGATGTGCTCGTCGTACCACGCGGGGTTGTACCAGCGACGGGGCATTTCTGGCGGACAGGAACAGAAACGCAGGAGTTCAGGAGATATATGTAAGAAAAGGAACAGAAAAGTAATGACAAAAACAGGAGAAATTTCAGGGGAAACAAATCGAATTCAGGGTTGTACCAGCGACGGAGGGTATCTGGTGGGGAAGTATGGAAATGCATAATTGGAAGATAAGAGATAGCAGAATAATCTGTAAAGGCAAGCGAAGGGCACAAGACGGGATGTGCTCGGCGTACCACGCGGGGTTGTACCAGCGACGGAGCGTGTCTGACGCCAAAAATCCGGAAATGTTGGAAGAATTTTCCAAAGACAGGGAACAAATCATCAAAAGCAATAATAATAAAAAGACAGGGAAGTAAGAGTTCAGCTTGACGCAGACGACTCACGGTCTTTGCTGGAGTAGACATGGCCCGGCGGGAACGTCTCGAAGCGCTCGCAGTCGTCTTTAAGAGCCTTCATTTCCGACGCGAAGCACATAGAGCCGTCGCGGCCCCAGCCGATGTAGAGCGGACACACGCCGATGGGGTCGCGCGCCGCGATGTACGAGCCGTCCTTAGTGTTGAGCAGCACGAACGCGAAGATTCCGTCCAGCTTCTGCACGGCTTGCTCTCCCATGTCTTCATACTGGAGAAGGGTGGTGAGGAAAGGGCGGGCGATTTGAGAGACATTTATTGATTGTACGAGCCGTCCTTGGTGTTGAGCAGCACGAAGGCGAATATTCCGTCGAGCTTCTGCACGGCTTGCTCTCCCATGTCTTCATACTGAAAAAGGGTGGTGAGGAAAGGGCGGGCGATTTGAGAGACATTTATTGATTGTACGAGCCGTCCTTGGTGTTGAGCAGCACGAAGGCGAATATTCCGTCCAGCTTCTGCACGGCTTGCTCTCCCATGTCTTCATACTGGAGAAGGGTGGTGAGGAAATAATTGACTCGCAAAAAATATAGGAGCTTTGTATGCTGAACGGCACGATGCTACTGAAAGGGGAAAATCATCGGGCGTCCCATGTCTGCACAACCTCCGCTTTTCGAAATTATTGTAGGAGATTGTACGGAATGAAGTATTGAAGGAGGGGGTCTGAGTGGAGAAGTGTAATAACGAGGATGACGAGCAAATGAAAAAACGAGAAAGGCATTTTTGCAAACGTGTAGCAACAATAAATGAGCAGTAAAAAGGTCCGAACCAAGACAAGATCAGTCGCTCATTGCATCGAATTTTACGCACGAGATGCGCGATGACTTCGCAATCGCTGCCGGTGTTGAATGTGTGGCGGTCCTGGAGCTCATTCCGCAGCTGCTGGTAGTTGTAGATCTCGCCGTTGACGGCCACCACGATGCTGCCGTCCTCGTTGCGCAACGGCTGGTGACCAGACGCCGGGTCGATGACGGCTAGCCGTTCGTGCGCGAGGAAGTTGTTGCCGAACGTGTGCACACCGCTCCAATCTGGTCCACGGTGGCGCAGCCTGCGAGAGACACGTGGCATGATCGGGCCAGTGACAGGAGAAGAGAAATGGCAAGAGTTCGAATTACGCGCGAATGTCCATGAGAAGGCGTGGCTTTGCAATGCGCGATTGAGCGCACTAACAGAACCTGGCGCCTCCATAAATTAAGACTCGGTCGTGTCACTGATAGAAGCCGAGATAGAGATAGTTAATCGACAATTACATTGTGAGAATCACGGGAGGATCGAAACGAAACAGGATTTCTTGCAATCGATTATTCGAGTAAACGATTTGAAATCGTGGCGAATGCGGGCCTACCTGGCAGTGCACTCGAGGACCTTCGCTCGGGTGCGAGCCGAAGCATCAGCAGCTCCAAGAACCGCGAGAATTCCGCACATCTTGACGGTTGTATGGACCGGATTGACGGTTGTGTCAAGTTCGCCGGCGGACACGGCAGGCACGCGACTTAGCGAAGCTCTTGCGTTGCTGTCGCTGGAGGCGAGAGCAAACGAGGAGAGAGCGCTAGGAACTTCCGTACAGAGACGGAAGCCAATGCTTCGAAAGGCACTCGCAGGAAAGAAGTTATCGAAGGAAAAACGCAGGAAGATGGTGCTTGTGAGGAATAAATGAGGTATTTTATAGACCTTGCACGCCTCGACATTCACACAGACATTGCCAATTTTCAAATTTCCAACTGTGGGGCGAATTGCGAAGGAGGGTGCGACAGTGTGGTTGGGTCGCTCATGCAAATATGCCGTCGATTGGGTGCCAAGATGTTTCTTGGCTTTTCGTCATTTTCGTTTACAGGTAACCAGGGTTCGCAGGATTTCACCCTGCCAAGCTGGCTTGGGAATTTCCAGCAGTTTCTTGGGGGTTACTTTTCCTGCGGGGCCAGGAAGAATTTGCAGTCGCAGAGATTCGCAGAAACATTTGACTGTGGGATGTGCGCGCTGGAATTTCGGGCCGCATTCATGTTGTGGCGCGGTCCACGAAGGCAAATTCGAAGTGAAATTGCGATCACTCCTCACATCAGATTCCAGCTCAGCATCGCGCATCTCCACGCTGTTTGCAGCCCGGTAAGTTCGTGATTGGCTAACCATCGTAATTACCGGAACAGTTTGGCATTCTTCCGCACATCAGCGCGCAATGCTCCGCTGCTGCCTCAGCTGCGCCTCGGCGCAGGAAATGGCTGAGGCAGCAGGTAACCAAGGCAGTGCCTGCCTGCCTGTATGGCCGAAAGCTTACCCTTCCGGCGCCGCCCTCAAAGTTATCCACAAGCCAGTTCACAGCACTGTACAGTGCGTGCGAAGTCTCCAGAGAACCACGTGGTTTTGTTAATTTCCACGAAGGATTGGCCACGTGATCAGATAAGCCAATTGTTATGGCTAGCCAATTGTAAAGCTAGGAGGAAGTAGACTCACGGTCAAGATTAGGATCGCCTATTCAGGTGTAGCAAATCATAAGTATATTCCACTTTATTCCACATTAATTCAAAATGCACTTGCACTTCTTGGTTGGGGACTGCAAGCCAGGCAATATGGGGGTATAATGTATTAAAAATTGTTGTATAGACGGACACTAGCTTCAACATGAGCAGTAACCGAGTTCATCCACCCTAAGGATGATTTACGAGCTAGACTTATCACTTAAATTAGCATTTTCACTCACAATAACCTCAACCTGGGAAATGGCTTGAGTCAACGACTGATTTGGCACTGCAGGCTCCTCTTAGAACATCATCGTGCCATACTTGAACAGCTCTTCCTTAATCCCTTCAAGATCCGCCACTATCTTCACCATTCGAGGCCGGGACATGGCCGGAGTGGCAGTGCATGTCATGGCGAGCCGTGCAAGCCGGAGAATGACGTCATCTGGAGCTTCTAGATGAGGAGGCAGCTACGTTGCCACGTTCCACTAACGGGGCAGCCTGTATGGAAGCGTAAAAAAGCCAAACGGAAATGAAATACTGATGTGTAAGGATATCAGAGGTCCGGTGAAACTGTGACTGGAAGACCATTGCATCATAAAACGTAATTTAACATTTATTTGTATGTAATGTATGTATATTATTGGTGAGACCGTGCCCATTTGCTGATGTTGATCGGGTCGTCGTATTTAGAAACCGACACAATGGCCCTTTGCCCCGTCAGAAGCTCTAGCATCACGATGCCGAAGCTGCCAAGAGGAAAATTGGAAAATGGTGGGAGATCGGAAGCAAGGGGCAAGAAAACATGACCTTTTGAAACTGGTCCATATCACCTAACGGACCAACCTGAGGGAAACCTACTGGAACATGTCGTTGGCGGGAGTGGCCTTGCGTGTGCGCCCATACACAGGGTCCACATAGCCTGGCGTCCGAGTAATCTACACTTACACTGATTGTCTCCCAAAAGCAATGCATACATAGCGAATCACACGACACAAATATCCCACAGCAAGGTGTCCCCACCTGAATACGTCCTTGGCGGGAGTGGCCTTGCGTATGCGGCCATACACATGGTCCACATAGCCTGGCGTGCCGAGCAATATCTGCACTTGCTCTGATGCGTGCTAATCACAGCTCATACCACGCATCGTTCTCACCCGAACACTCTCCAAACATCACACAGCAAGGTGTTCCCACCTGAACACGTCGTTGGCGGGGGTGGCCTTGCGGGTGCGCCCATACACAGGGTCCACATAGCCCGGAGTGCCGAGCACTCTACACTAGCTATTGGCACCTCTAGAAAGGTGCCAAGCATTCTCTAATCCCTAGGTCTGAATGGATGCACCCAAACCATGGGACATATCACACATCGTTCCCACCTGAACACGTCATTGGCGGGGGTGGCCTTGCGGGTGCGCCCATACACAGGGTCCACATAGCCCGGCGTGCCGAGCACTCTACACTAGCTATTGGCACCTCTAGAAAGGTGCCAAGCATTCTCTAATCCCTAGGTCTGAATGGATGCACCCAAACCATGGGACATATCACACATCGTTCCCACCTGAACACGTCCTTGGCGGGGGTGGCCTTGCGGGTGCGCCCATACACAGGGTCCACATAGCCCGGCGTGCCGAGCACTCTACACTAGCTATTGGCACCTCTAGAAAGGTGCCAAGCATTCTCTAATCCCTAGGTCTGAATGGATGCACCCAAACCATGGGACATATCACACATCGTTCCCACCTGAACACGTCATTGGCGGGGGTGGCCTTGCGGGTGCGCCCATACACAGGGTCCACATAGCCCGGCGTGCCGAGCACTCTACACTAGCTATTGGCACCTCTAGAAAGGTGCCAAGCATTCTCTAATCCCTAGGTCTGAATGGATGCACCCAAACCATGGGACATATCACACATCGTTCCCACCTGAACACGTCATTTGCAGGGGTGGCCTTGCGGGTGCGCCCATACACAGGGTCCACATAGCCCGGCGTGCCGAGCACTCGAGTGGAGTCCTGAGGGTTGTATGCGTTGCCCTCTCCCATCTTGGTCAGCCCGAAATCAGCTATCTTGGCCTGTGGGAGGGAACGGTATGGAGAAAGGTGGGGAGAAACAGAAGAGAAAAGATGTAAGATAAGCTAGCATCACGACAAGTCAGACCCGAGTGGAGTCCTGAGGGTTGTATGCATTGCCCTCTCCCATCTTGGTCACTTTTGAGACGTCTCAAAAGAGGGCTGCAGGTTGTACGCATTGCCCTCTCCCGTCTTGGTCAGCCCGAAATCAGCAACCTTGGCCTGTGGGAGGGAACGGGATGGAGAAAACAGAGGGGAAGCTGTGCGGATAGCTGCTGGGTGTTATGAAAGTCGCACACACGCACACACGCACCCACACCACACATACACACATACCTGCCAGTTGCCGTCCAGCAGTATGTTGGCTGGTTTCACGTCCCGATGCACCATTGAGAAGCTGTGATGGTACTCCAGGCCCCTTGCTGCTCCTATCATCATCTCCAGCCGCTGCTGCAGGCTCACTGGCTTGGAGGCAAGATCTGGAAAATGGGAGGAGTGGGAGACGGGAGGCATGAAGCTGTGAAAGCACATGCACATAAGCACATGCACCCATGCATGCTGCTGCTGTACTCACTTCTCAGCAGGAGCTCCAGATCCCCATTTTCCATGAACTCATAGATGATGATCTGCTCCTGCTCGTGCGTCTTGGCGTCTGTTGTAACACAGTACCCCAGCAGACGGACCAGGTGCGGGTGATGCTTGCTCGCCATCAGCTCTACCTGTGTACGGGGAGCGGGAGGAGGAGGGGCCGGAGGAGATGGGGGGGAGTGTTTGGGGGCAGGTGGTGAGGAATGAGTCTTGGCATCCGTTGTAACGTAGTACCCCAGCAGATGGACGAGATGTGGGTGATGCTTGCTCGCCATCAGCTCTACCTGTGAAGGGAAAAGGGAAAAGGGGGGTAGTTAGGGGGTAGTTGGGGGCAAGAGGTAGGGAGTGAGTCTTGGCATCCGTTGTAACGTAGTAGCCCAGCAGGCGGACCAGGTGTGGGTGATGCGAGGAGAGGGGAGAGGGGAGTGGTTCGGGGGAAGGTGGTAAGGAGTGAGTGAGTCTTGGCGTCCGTTGTACCCCTGCAGACGGACGAGATGAGGGTGATGCTTGCTCGCCATCAGCTCTACCCGCATTAATACAAAGGACCGTTTGAGAGGGGGTGGTTTTGGGGCCAGGGTGGTAAGGAGGTGAGTCTTGGCATCGGTGGTAATCCAGTACCCCAGCAGACGCACCAGATGACTTTTGAGGCGCAAGTCGTCTCAAATGTCTTTTGAGCGGCCTCAAAAGGGTGGTATGGAGGTGAGTCTATCCGTGGTAATCCAGTACCCCAGCAGACGCACCAGATGACTTTTGAGGCGCAAGTCGTCTCAAATGTCTTTTGAGCGGCCTCAAAAGGGTGGTATGGAGGTGAGTCTATCGGTGGTAATCCAGTACCCCAGCAGACGCACCAGATGACTTTTGAGGCGCAAGTCGTCTCAAATGTCTTTTGAGCGGCCTCAAAAGGGTGGTATGGAGGTGAGTCTATCCGTGGTAATCCAGTACCCCAGCAGACGCACCAGATGGGGATGATGCTTACTACCCATCGGCTCTACCTGTAAAGGGTAAGAGGGGGGGCTGGGGGAGGAGGAGGCTCCCCTACCCTGTGTTCAAAAGCATAGGGTTTGAGGTTCAGGGCTTACAGAGGGAGCTCACCTCCTTGTGGAAGTCGTTGGTGCGAATCTTGGCTTGCTTCACCGCCCACACCTGAGGCTCCCCGGCCTCCTAGGGTTAGTGTCTAACGTCTAGGCAGGTCTAGGCTTTAAGGTCTAGGACTTAGAGTCTAGCGAGCTCACCTCCTTGTGAAAGTCGTTGGTGCGAATCTTGGCTCTCTTCACCGCCCACACCTGCGGCTCCCCTGCCTCCACTGTAATCCCCACCTCCCCCTTTCCACTCCCTCCCCTCTTACTCCCCCACACACTTCCCCTTCCACTCCCTATCCCACTCCCTCTCTCACTCCCTCTCGCAGTCTCCTTCACACTCGCTCCTGCCAAACCTGCTTCCCCACTCTCTCCCCCCACTCCCCCCATTCCTCCCACTCCGCCCCCTCCGCCCCCTCCGCCGCCCACTCTCGCACTGGGCGGCACACCCTTGTACACGTCCCCGTAGCCCCCGCTGCCCAGGTGGTTGTAGCTCGCCCAGCTGTCCGTCGCCTGTAGCACCTCATTCAGGCTGTAGCGCCGGAACAGGCCTGGGACTGAAAGAATACGTGGGTGAGGGTTGAGGGGAGAGGGAAAGAGTTGGAAGAGAATGGAAACGCCTTGTACACGTCCCCGTAGCCCACCTCCCCCTCTCCATTCCCCTGCCCACTCGAGCAGAGGGCGGAACCCCCTTGTACACGTCCGCATAGCCCCCGCTGCCCAGGTGGTTGTAGCTCGCCCAGTTGTCCGTCGCCTGTAGCACCTCTGCTAGGCTGTAGCGCCGGAACAGGCCTGGGACTGGGGTATGTATGGGGAAGATGGGGATAATAGAGTTGACTCAGAAGTGGTTATAGCTCGCCCAGCTGTCCGTCGCCTGTAGCACCTCACTCAGGCTGTAGCGCCGGAACAGGCCTGGGACTGAGGCAGGGGGACATGGCAGGGAACGTAGAGGCATGGGCATTGGGTACTCAACAGTGGTTGTGGCTCGCCCAGCTGTCCGTCGCCTGTAGCACCTCACTTCACTCAGGCTGTAGCGCCGGAACAGGCCTGGGACTGGGGGGATTGGGGAAGGGGGTTGCAAGGGACGAGAGGAGAGAAGGCTGTAGCTCGCCCAGCTGTCCGTCGCCTGTAGCACCTCACTCAGGCTGTAGCGCCGAAACAAGCCTGGGACTGGGGTAGAGGGTATATATGGGGGAGATTGGGGTAATATAGTAGACTCAGAAGTGGTTGTAGCTCGCCCAGCTGTCTGTAGCCTGTAGGCTGTAGCGCTGAAACAGGCCTGGGACTGGGGGAATTGGGGAAAGGGAGTTGCAAGTACGAGAAGAGAGAAGGTTGTAGCTCGCCTGTAGCGCCGGATCAGGCCTGGGACTGTGGTGTATCATATATGAGAGAAGAGGGGGATCGTAAGCTGGGTTGTGCCCTGTATCGGATCTGCCTCTATCGAGGATGACGATCAGAGCCAGACAAGCGTAAACAAGCGCCCCTCCACTAATCGCAACGCCCACACTCACTCTGAGCGAGAGAGAAGAGGAGGAGAGGTGGAAGAGGTCTGGGAGACTTACCAGCTGAGTTGGGCCCTGTAGCGGGTCTGCCCTTAACGAGGATGCAAATCGGGGGAAGAAAAGCGATAACAAGCGCCCCTGCTCCAATACCTACGCCCACAATCACTCTGAGCAAGAGAGAAGAGGAAGAGCTGACTTTTGAGTCGAGCCAAAGGAACGCCCACAATCACTCTGAGCAAGAGAGAAGAGGAAGAGCTGACTTTTGAGTCGAGCCAAAGGAACGCCCACAATCACTCCGAGCAAGAGAGAAGAGGAAGAGCTGACTTTTGAGTCGAGCCAAAGGAACGCCCACAATCACTCTGAGCAAGAGAGAAGAGGAAGAGCTGACTTTTGAGTCGAGCCAAAGGAACACCCACAATCACTCCGAGCAAGAGAGAAGAGGAAGAGCTGACTTTTGAGTCGAGCCAAAGGAACGCCCACAATCACTCTGAGCAAGAGACAAGAAGAGGAGTTGGAGGAGAGGAGGAGAGGTGGAGAGGTGGAGAGGTGGGGAAGAGATCTGGGAAACTCACCAGCTGAGTTGGGCCCAGTAGCGGGTCTGCCCCTAACGAGGATGCATATCAGGGCGAGACAAGCAATGACAAGCGCCGCTGCTCCAATCGCAACGCCCACAATCACTCCGAGCGAGAGAGAAGAGGAGTTGGAGGAGGGAGGAGAGGGTGGAGAGGGTGGAGAGGCAGAAGGGGGGGCTTGCGGGGGTGGGGAAGGAGACGGGGAGGTTGTGGGGGAGGGGGATGGAGAGAGGGGAGGGGAAGGAGAGGAGGGAGGAGGGGAGGGGGAGGAGGGTGGGGAAGGAGAGATGGTCTTGGGAACACAGGTGCCACTGCCGTCAGGGAGGGCGCCTGGGGAGGTGGTTGAAGGGCAGGTACAGGTGTAACCAGTAGGGTTACCACTGCTGCTGGCCCTGATACTGATGCTGCTGCTGCTGCTGGTGCCGCCGCTGCTGCGGCTGGTTATGATGCCACTGCTACTGCTCCTGACACTTCGGCTGCTGCTACTGCCAATGCTGCTGCTGCTGCCGCTGCTGCTGCTGCTGCTGCCGTCGCTGCTGCTGTTGCTTGGTTTTGAAACACAAGTGCCCAGGCCACAGGGGTTGACAGGAAACGTGCTGCAGACGTCAGCTGGAGGAAAAGAGGCAGGACAGGTGGCACAGGGGGTGGAGACAGGAGAGGAGAGAAAGAAATTCAGCAGGTCTTTGCTGCTGCTGTTGGCATTCACAAGTGCCCAGGCCGCACGAGTTGACAGGAAACGTGCTCCAGACGTCAGATGGAGGAATGGAGACAGGACAGGTGGCAGAGCGGAGAGAAATCAATCCAAAGGGTCACTAGCAATAAATCCAAAGCACCGTAAACGCTGCTGTAGGGAATAGGTATGATGAGTAGTACCAAAGCTCAAAAGCCTGCATTCGCTATGTGTAGCAGCAGCTGCCTCAGAGCTGGCAGAAAGCTGAGTGTGGTGCGGTGAGGTGTCCGCACGGCTGGTTGACTGACTGACCAGTGCTCTAGATCAGATGTATTTGAAAAATCAGCCTACATGTAGTAAGTCGATTTTTGAGTCGACTCAAAAATCCGCACGGAGTAAGTCGATTTTTGAGTCGACTCAAAAATCCGCACGGCTGGTTGACGGACTGACTGACCAGTGCTCTAGATCAGATGTATTTGAAAAATCAGCCTACATTATCAGCACACATGTCTCACCCGTGAGGAAGCCGCACAATGGGCTCACCAGTATACGCACTACACACTCTGCAGAAGCCGGAGCGGAGCAGATCTGACAGAAGGCCGAGGGGGGGGGGTCTGCTCCAGCCCGGTTATTGACGATTGACTTGACTGCCCTGTGTGTGCTCCAGCCCGGTTATTTACGATTGACTTGACTGCCCTGTGTGTGCTCCAGCCCAGTTATTTACGATTGACTTGACTGCCCTGTGTGTGCTCCAGCCCGGTTATTTACCATTGACTTGACTGCCCTGTGTGTGCTCCAGCCCGGTTATTGACGATTGACTTGACTGCCCTGTGTGTGCTCCAGCCCGGTTATTTACGATTGACTTGACTGCCCTGTGTGTGCTCCAGCCCGGTTATTTACGATTGACTTGACTGCCCTGTGTGTGCTCCAGCCCAGTTATTTACGATTGACTTGACTGCCCTGTGTGTGCTCCAGCCCGGTTATTTACGATTGACTTGACTGCCCTGTGTGTGCTCCAGCCCAGTTATTTACGATTGACTTGACTGCCCTGTGTGTGCTCCAGCCCGGTTATTTACGATTGACTTGACTGCCCTGTGTGTGCTCCAGCCCGGTTATTTACGATTGACTTGACTGCCCTGTGTGTGCTCCAGCCCGGTTATTTACGATTGACTTGACTGCCCTGTGTGTGCTCCAGCCCGGTTATTTACGATTGACTTGACTGCCCTGTGTGTGCTCCAGCCCGGTTATTTACGATTGACTTGACTGCCCTGTGTGTGCTCCAGCCCGGTTATTTACGATTGACTTGACTGCCCTGTGTGTGCTCCAGCCCGGTTATTTACGATTGACTTGACTGCCCTGTGTGTGCTCCAGCCCGGTTATTTACGATTGACTTGACTGCCCTGTGTGTGCTCCAGCCCGGTTATTTACGATTGACTTGACTGCCCCGTGTGTGCTCCAGCCCGGTTATTTACGATTGACTTGACTGCCCTGTGTGTGCTCCAGCCCGGTTATTTACGATGGACTTGACTGCCCTGTGTGTGCTCCAGCCGGGTTATTTACGATTGACTTGACTGCCCTGTGTGTGCTCCAGCCCGGTTATTTACGATTGACTTGACTGCCCTGTGTGTGCTCCAGCCCGGTTATTTACGATTGACTTGACTGCCCTGTGTGTGCTCCAGCCCGGTTATTTACGATTGACTTGACTGCCCTGTGTGTGCTCCAGCCCGGTTATTTACGATTGACTTGACTGCCCTGTGTGTGCTCCAGCCCGGTTATTTACGATTGACTTGACTGCCCTGTGTGTGCTCCAGCCCGGTTATTTACGATTGACTTGACTGCCCTGTGTGTGCTCCAGCCCGGTTATTTACGATTGACTTGACTGCCCCGTGTGTGCTCCAGCCCGGTTATTTACGATTGACTTGACTGCCCTGTGTGTGCTCCAGCCCGGTTATTTACGATGGACTTGACTGCCCTGTGTGTGCTCCAGCCCGGTTATTTACGATTGACTTGACTGCCCTGTGTGTGCTCCAGCCCGCTGTGCGAAGCTGATTTTGAGACGTCTCAAAACCCGCTATGCGAAGCTGCATGGCTGGTTAACTGGCTGACCAGTGCCTTGCCTTGGGTGTATTTGAAAAGACACATGATGACTTACCCACATACGAGCTGCACACTCTGCAGAAGCCGGAGCAGAGCTGACAGAAGGCCGAGTGGGGGGTGAGCGTGTTCTATTCCGGTCTTTAACGATTGACTGACTGCTCTGTGTGTGCTTACCCGCATATGAGCTGCACACTCTGCAGAAGCCGGAGCAGACCTGGCAGAAGGCCGAGTGGGGTGTCTGCTCCACCCCGCATGGTTAAGCTGCATGGCTGGTTGACTGGCTGACCCGTGCTCACGGTGCATTTGAAAAATCCTCGACACATGGGACTTACCCACATACGAGCTGCACTCTTTGCAGAAGCCCGAGCAGAGCTGGCAGAAGGCCGAGTGGGGTGTCTGCTCCACCCCGCATGGCTGGTTGGCAGGGCACTCAAGCCACGTGCCGTAGAGAGACATGCAGGTGGCGGGGGGAATAGGAGAAAGGGGAGTTAGAGCTTAGATGCGTGGAGGGGAGCTGGGTACAGAGAGGAAGCAAGGGGTCTGCTCCACCCCGCATGGTTGGTTGGCGGGGCACTCGAGCCACGTGCCGTAGAGAGACCTGAGAGATGGATGGGTTGAATGGGAGAAAAGAGGAGTTGGAGACATGGAGGGAAGCTGGGTACACATAGGAATCAATGGGTCTGCTCCACCCCGCATGGCTGGTTGGCGGGGCACTCGAGCCATGTGCCGTAGATTAGATGCACTCAACTCAAGCCCTGCAGAGGGACGTGTAGTGGACGTGAGGAATGGGAGAATTTTTTGAGTCGACTAAAAAATAGGCTCATTTTTTAGTCGACTCAAAAATAGACTCAACTCAAGCCCTGCAGAGGGACGTGTAGTGGACGTGAGGAATGGGAGAAAGTGTAGACACGGAGAGGAGGGGATGGGGAGAATGGGAGAAATGGGGAGCTTACATAATCTCTCATACAACGTTCCTATGATATGAGGGAACTCAAAGGAGCTCACGTGCCTTACAAGGGAACTCAAGTAGGGACGTCTCAAAAGCCCTACGCTCTTATAAGGGAACTCACAAACGCTCTTGTAAGTGAGCTCACATGTTTGCAAGGCTGCTCAATGCGCCCAAGGCAGGAGGGAGGGGGGCGGTGGGGGTTTGAGACGTCTCAAAAGCCCTACGCTCTTATAAGGGAACTCACAAACGCTCTTGTAAGTGAGCTCACATGTTTGCAAGGCTGCTCAATGCGCCCAAGGCAGGAGGGAGGGGGGCGGTGGGGGTTTGAGACGTCTCAAAAGCCCTACGCTCTTATAAGGGAACTCACAAACGCTCTTGTAAGTGAGCTCACATGTTTGCAAGGCTGCTCAATGCGCCCAAGGCAGGAGGGAGGGGGGCGGTGGGGGTTTGAGACGTCTCAAAAGCCCTACGCTCTTATAAGGGAACTCACAAACGCTCTTGTAAGTGAGCTCACATGTTTGCAAGGCTGCTCAATGCGCCCAAGGCAGGAGGGAGGGGGGCGGTGGGGGTTTGAGACGTCTCAAAAGCCCTACGCTCTTATAAGGGAACTCACAAACGCTCTTGTAAGTGAGCTCACATGTTTGCAAGGCTGCTCAATGCGCCCAAGGCAGGAGGGAGGGGGGCGGTGGGGGTTTGAGACGTCTCAAAAGCCCTACGCTCTTATAAGGGAACTCACAAACGCTCTTGTAAGTGAGCTCACATGTTTGCAAGGCTGCTCAATGCGCCCAAGGCAGGAGGGAGGGGGGCGGTGGGGGTTTGAGACGTCTCAAAAGCCCTACGCTCTTATAAGGGAACTCACAAACGCTCTTGTAAGTGAGCTCACATGTTTGCAAGGCTGCTCAATGCGCCCAAGGCAGGAGGGAGGGGGGCGGTGGGGGTTTGAGACGTCTCAAAAGCCCTACGCTCTTATAAGGGAACTCACAAACGCTCTTGTAAGTGAGCTCACATGTTTGCAAGGCTGCTCAATGCGCCCAAGGCAGGAGGGAGGGGGGCGGTGGGGGTTTGAGACGTCTCAAAAGCCCTACGCTCTTATAAGGGAACTCACAAACGCTCTTGTAAGTGAGCTCACATGTTTGCAAGGCTGCTCAATGCGCCCAAGGCAGGAGGGAGGGGGGCGGTGGGGGTTTGAGACGTCTCAAAAGCCCTACGCTCTTATAAGGGAACTCACAAACGCTCTTGTAAGTGAGCTCACATGTTTGCAAGGCTGCTCAATGCGCCCAAGGCAGGAGGGAGGGGGGCGGTGGGGGTTTGAGACGTCTCAAAAGCCCTACGCTCTTATAAGGGAACTCACAAACGCTCTTGTAAGTGAGCTCACATGTTTGCAAGGCTGCTCAATGCGCCCAAGGCAGGAGGGAGGGGGGCGGTGGGGGTTTGAGACGTCTCAAAAGCCCTACGCTCTTATAAGGGAACTCACAAACGCTCTTGTAAGTGAGCTCACATGTTTGCAAGGCTGCTCAATGCGCCCAAGGCAGGAGGGAGGGGGGCGGTGGGGGTTTGAGACGTCTCAAAAGCCCTACGCTCTTATAAGGGAACTCACAAACGCTCTTGTAAGTGAGCTCACATGTTTGCAAGGCTGCTCAATGCGCCCAAGGCAGGAGGGAGGGGGGCGGTGGGGGTTTGAGACGTCTCAAAAGCCCTACGCTCTTATAAGGGAACTCACAAACGCTCTTGTAAGTGAGCTCACATGTTTGCAAGGCTGCTCAATGCGCCCAAGGCAGGAGGGAGGGGGGCGGTGGGGGTTTGAGACGTCTCAAAAGCCCTACGCTCTTATAAGGGAACTCACAAACGCTCTTGTAAGTGAGCTCACATGTTTGCAAGGCTGCTCAATGCGCCCAAGGCAGGAGGGAGGGGGGCGGTGGGGGTTTGAGACGTCTCAAAAGCCCTACGCTCTTATAAGGGAACTCACAAACGCTCTTGTAAGTGAGCTCACATGTTTGCAAGGCTGCTCAATGCGCCCAAGGCAGGAGGGAGGGGGGCGGTGGGGGTTTGAGACGTCTCAAAAGCCCTACGCTCTTATAAGGGAACTCACAAACGCTCTTGTAAGTGAGCTCACATGTTTGCAAGGCTGCTCAATGCGCCCAAGGCAGGAGGGAGGGGGGCGGTGGGGGTTTGAGACGTCTCAAAAGCCCTACGCTCTTATAAGGGAACTCACAAACGCTCTTGTAAGTGAGCTCACATGTTTGCAAGGCTGCTCAATGCGCCCAAGGCAGGAGGGAGGGGGGCGGTGGGGGTTTGAGACGTCTCAAAAGCCCTACGCTCTTATAAGGGAACTCACAAACGCTCTTGTAAGTGAGCTCACATGTTTGCAAGGCTGCTCAATGCGCCCAAGGCAGGAGGGAGGGGGGCGGTGGGGGTTTGAGACGTCTCAAAAGCCCTACGCTCTTATAAGGGAACTCACAAACGCTCTTGTAAGTGAGCTCACATGTTTGCAAGGCTGCTCAATGCGCCCAAGGCAGGAGGGAGGGGGGCGGTGGGGGTTTGAGACGTCTCAAAAGCCCTACGCTCTTATAAGGGAACTCACAAACGCTCTTGTAAGTGAGCTCACATGTTTGCAAGGCTGCTCAATGCGCCCAAGGCAGGAGGGAGGGGGGCGGTGGGGGTTTGAGACGTCTCAAAAGCCCTACGCTCTTATAAGGGAACTCACAAACGCTCTTGTAAGTGAGCTCACATGTTTGCAAGGCTGCTCAATGCGCCCAAGGCAGGAGGGAGGGGGGCGGTGGGGGTTTGAGACGTCTCAAAAGCCCTACGCTCTTATAAGGGAACTCACAAACGCTCTTGTAAGTGAGCTCACATGTTTGCAAGGCTGCTCAATGCGCCCAAGGCAGGAGGGAGGGGGGCGGTGGGGGTTTGAGACGTCTCAAAAGCCCTACGCTCTTATAAGGGAACTCACAAACGCTCTTGTAAGTGAGCTCACATGTTTGCAAGGCTGCTCAATGCGCCCAAGGCAGGAGGGAGGGGGGCGGTGGGGGTTTGAGACGTCTCAAAAGCCCTACGCTCTTATAAGGGAACTCACAAACGCTCTTGTAAGTGAGCTCACATGTTTGCAAGGCTGCTCAATGCGCCCAAGGCAGGAGGGAGGGGGGCGGTGGGGGTTTGAGACGTCTCAAAAGCCCTACGCTCTTATAAGGGAACTCACAAACGCTCTTGTAAGTGAGCTCACATGTTTGCAAGGCTGCTCAATGCGCCCAAGGCAGGAGGGAGGGGGGCGGTGGGGGTTTGAGACGTCTCAAAAGCCCTACGCTCTTATAAGGGAACTCACAAACGCTCTTGTAAGTGAGCTCACATGTTTGCAAGGCTGCTCAATGCGCCCAAGGCAGGAGGGAGGGGGGCGGTGGGGGTTTGAGACGTCTCAAAAGCCCTACGCTCTTATAAGGGAACTCACAAACGCTCTTGTAAGTGAGCTCACATGTTTGCAAGGCTGCTCAATGCGCCCAAGGCAGGAGGCAGGGAGCCGTTGAGAGGGTTTTTTGAGAAGTCCCTGGGAATGGGGGGAACGAGAGGGGTGAATGATGAGATTTGAGTGAGGAGGGGTGGCTGTGCCATGTCCGGATCTCAGGAGGGGTGGCTGTGCCATGTCCGGATCTCAGGAGGGGTGGCTGTGGGAGTTTTGAGGCATCTCAAAAGGCAAAAGAGATCACTGGTGAGGCAGGAGGGAGGGAGCTCTTGGAGACGTCCCTGGGGATGAAGGGAATGGGAGGACGACGACGATGATGATGATGATGATGATGATGATGATGATGATGATGATGATGATGATGATGATGATGATGATGATGATGATGATGATGATGATGATGATGATGATGATGATGATGATGATGATGATGATGATGATGATGATGATGATGATGATGGTGATGATGTCATGAGAGCATCGGGGAAGGACCAACACAGAAGAGGGGGAACCGTTGAAAGGGCTTTTGAAGGAGAAGACCCTTTCAACGAATGAATGAATGAATGAGAAGAACAGCTAGGGGATGGGGGGATGAATGGGAGAGGGTGGATAGTAGGAGCATTATGTAGTTGTAGATAACTGTTGATACAGGAGGGAGGGAGCAGTTGAAAGGATTCTTGAATTCCGGGGAAAGGCGGATGATGATGACGCGGGGAGGGAAAGGGTGGGGGAGATGAGGAGGGATGGCAACGCGAGCATGGAACTTGAAGAGAAATTGGGGAGTCGGGATGTGGGGAAAATGAATCGGGGAAAAGGATTGGGGGAATGGCAACGAAAGCTTCCAATACAGTGGCTCTAGTAGTTGCTTTTTGAGGCGCCTCAAGTTTTTTGAGACGATTTTGTAGGCACCTCAAAAAGCTTCCAATACAGTTGCACTAGTAGTTGCCTCAACGATTCGGTTTGGATCGAGTGGAATCGAGTGAACTCGAATATAGTCAACTCAAATGTCATGTCACATCAAAATATGCCAACTCACAAAACGGTAGCCCGAGTGAGATCAGCGAGGGATGGGGGAACCGTGCCGGTTAGATGGTTGGCGCTGAGATTACTGAGAGAGGAGAGTGGGGTTTGGGGGGAGAGTGGTGGGGAGAGAGGCGGGGGCAGAGGGGTGCAGGAAGAAGGGCCAACACTGATGGGATAGGGATTGGGAAAGAGCTGGTGGTACGGTTCCGTTGAAACTGTTGTCATCAAGCTCACTGGGTGGGATTGGTGGAGAACGGAGGATGAGAATTGGGAAGTGGCGATTGGGACTGGGATTGGGAAAGAGCTGGTGGTACGGTTCCATTGAAACTGTTGTCATCAAGCTCACTGGGTGGGATTGGTGGAGAACGGAGGATGAGAATTGGGAAGTGGCGATTGGGACTGGGATTGGGAAAGAGCTGGTGGTACGGTTCCGTTGAAACTGTTGTCATCAAGCTCACTGGGTGGTGTGGGGATGGAGGATGGGTAAGCGGGGATAGGATCAAGAAGCGAACAGTCTGGTGTCCGGATAAGAGGGAGGATGGGGGATTCAAGAGAGGTTGGTATGGATCCATTGGTATGGATCCATTGAAGCTGTTGACTTTTGAGCTGCCTCAAATGTCGTCGAGCATTGAGAAGGGGGAGATTTTTTGGACGAGGAAAGGGAAAACCGTGAGTGAGGTTTGGAGACCAAGGAATGAGGAAATGGGGAATGAGAAAGGATGGACTGGGGAACGAGCGTTGGGAAATGAGGAATGGGAAACGGGTAATCGAAATGGATGAGCAAGGATTGATTGAAGGGGGGCAGTTGAAGGAAGAGGAATACTACATGCTACAGTTGAACGATGGTGTGGTCAATTTGATGAGAGTGGATGCGATTAAAATGGGGGATGGTGTGAGTGAGGCATCGGAAACGGGGATGGGGAATGGGGAACGGGGCATAGAAGATGGGGGGATTCAAGTGGGAGAGTGAAAAACGGAGGATCGAAGAGGAAGGATGAAGAAGGGAGGTTTAGAGGCTCACAGTCGAACGAGGGCAGTCAATCGACCAAGAGTGGATAGTATGGGGCCAGACAGATGGTTCCTGTGTACCCCACTGGACGAATGGGTTCACAAGCAGAGCGGAATGAAGAGAGAAGAACGAGAGAGGTGGAAAAAGAGGGGAGATATGACAAGTGATTGAAGTTCAATCGCCAGAAGAGCAGATGGTATGGGGTCAGAGAAAGGGGGGTCAACAAATAAAGATGGATGGAGAATATTTGTCCATGCTTACTACGTGTCTTGGCTTGGTCCGACAGCTAAATAGTCTGAAACATGACAGCCTTTGCACTTCCACTAGTAGAGTTTCTCACCCTTACAACTTACAAGTTGCTCAGCTTGGTCAGGTCACCAATTCCATCTGGCAGAGACCCATGCAGGCCTGTCAGACCCAGGTGGCTTTGAGGGAAAGCAAGGAGCAGGAGGATAGGATGGAAAGGGATGGAAGTGGAGGGAAACAGCGAAGTGGAGAGAGGAAATGTCAAGAGTGGTGGTGGGAGATTGAGCGGATGGAGTAGGTAGCACTGTCAGGTGTTAAGCAAGGAAGGAAGGAAGGACGGAAGGAAGGCATCGTTGTGAGGCAGGAGAGAAAGGACGGAGATAAGGCCAGAGTGGGGCCGACTTTTGAGTCGACTCAAAAGTAAACTCGGAGAGAAAGGCCGGAGATAAGGCCGGAGATAAGGCCGGAGATAAGGCCGGAGTGGGGCCCCATTAGGCTCACCCAGAAGCAAAGGGCACAAGCACCAACAGAAATCGAGGTCCTGGAATTTGGAAACCCATGCTTACAAGAGTTCCAGGTTGGTGAGTTGAGTGACGGACTCTGGGAAGGGCCCATCCATATCCGCCCCTTGCAGCTCACTGGGGGGGAAGAGGCAAGGGGAAGGGGGGAGAGGGAGGGGGTGAGAGGGGGGCAGTGACAAGGTTGGTGAGTTGCTTGACGGACACTGGGAAGGGCCCATCCATGTCCGCCCCTTGTAGCTCACTGGATTGGGGGAGGGGAGGGGAAGGAGGGGAGGAGAGCAGGTTGTGCTGAAGTGGGCACTAGAAGCATTGGGCGGAGCTCCAGGTTGGAAAGTTGGGTCACCGACTCTGGGAAGGGCCCATCCATATCCGCTCCTTGCAGCTCACTGGAGAGGGGGAGGGGAAGGAGGAGAGCAAGTAGGTGGTAGCAGCATTGGGCGGAGCTCCAGGTTGGTGAGTTGAGTGACGGACTCGAGAAAGGGCCCATCCCTGCAGCTCCCTGGTGAAGGGGAATTAGGGGGATGAGCTGGTACCAAGAATTGAGTGGGCAGCTGAGAGATGGACTTTGGGAAGGGTCCGTCCCTCCTTTGCAGATCACTCAAAGAAGGGGGTGGGGTGGGGAGAGAGGGGGAAGAGGAGTGGGGAAGGGGCAGGGGAAAGGAATGGGGAGGACTGAGGAGTGAGTTCGAATGTTTTGGGTTGGGTTGTGTTGGGTTTTGATGCGCAGGTACGGAGCAATGGTTGGGAGTAGAAAATAAATGGCAGTTGCCAATCTCGACCCTCCCAACCTCACCCACCCCTCCCAACCCCTTTTCCCCCCTCTTTCCCTTCCTCCACCCCTCTTTATCCCTGCAAACCCCCTGCTTACAGGAAAGTGAGGGCCTTCAGGTTGCCTATGTCGCCTGGGATCGACCCATTGAGGTGCCAGTTGCCTATCTTGCTGGTGGTAGTGAGAGGGGGTGGGGAAATGGAGACATGGAGAGAAGCAGAGGAGAGGTGGAGAGATCAGAGAAGGAGAAACGGGGGTCTTGATAAATTTACGGGAATGGATGGATTTATTGAGGTGCCAGTTGCTTATCTCGCTGGTGGTAACGAGGGGGTTGGGAAGATAAAGATGTGGGGACATGGAGGGATGGGAAAACGAGAAACGGGGGCTAGGTGCCGTTACGAGAATGTATCGGCCCATTGAGGTGCCTGTTGCCTTTCTTTAACTTGCCTGCTTCCCATATACTCACAGCAGGACGAGGTTGGTGAGAAGAGTGAGAGTGTCGGGAATGGGACCTTCAAAGGCGTTTGAAAACACGTCCCTACAGGGAAGCGTGGCACAGAGGATAGATGGATGGATGGAGGTTGCGGTGAGAGGAACGTCTCAAAGCTTAAAAACACGTCCCTGTAGGGTGGGGGGGGAGCATGTGGATAGATGCATGAGATTGAAAACGCGTCCGTGCATGAGACACGTGTATGGATGGATGGATGGATGGATGGATGGATGGATGGATGGATGGATGGATGGATGGATGGATGGATGGATGGATGGATGGATGGATGGATGGATGGATGGGCGGATGCGAGCGTACACACGAACATGCGTATGTGAGCATGGTTTAAGTGTAGTGTTAATGCATATGTGAATGTCCGTGTTCGCATGCGCGTGTGCATGTGAATGTATGTGCACTCCAAACCTGCCAACCAAACTAGCTGCTTGTAGAAATTTCACCCTCATCCTTATCGCCCTCAATTCACAGTCAGCCTTGCTACTTACAAGAAGGAAAGGTCAGATAGTGAGCCGAGGTAGTCAGGAATGGTACCAGAGAACTTGTTATAGGGTATGGAGCTGGGAGAGGGGTGGGGTGAGATAAGGAGAGATGGGTGGTCATTGCGGTTATCGAAAGGAAAGTATTCAGGAATGGTAATGGAGATGTTGTTGTAGGGTATGGAGGTGGGAACGGGGAGGCATCCATGGGGTGGGGTGGGGGTGGACATTGGAGATAGGTGTTGAGGGGGAGTGCAGTGCGGTAGACAGATCACATGCAAGGGGTGACGAGGATTGACAGTTGAGTCACGCCAAAGATAAGGAGGGGACTGACAGGTACTGAAGCGCTGAGAGAAACTGGAGTCCGGTAGGGGTAATTAGGAGCGACTTTTAGGTCGCGCCAAAGATAAGGAGAAGTGGACTGACAGGTACTGAAGCGCTGAGAGAGACTGCAGTGCAGAAGGGAGAGGACCCGCCAGGGTGGTGTTGCGGATGGTGCTGGGGAGGGGAGGGAGAGATGGGAAGGGCGAGGGGAAAAAAGGAGGGGAGCGGGTCACAGGGGGAAGAGAGAGAGACTGGAGGGCGGAAGGGAGAGGTCCCGCCAGGGTGGTGTTGCGGATGGTGCTGGGGAGGGGAGGGAGAGATGGTAAGGGCGAGGGGAAAAAAGGAGGAGAGCGGGCCACAGGGGGAAGTGAGAGAGACTGCAGTGCACAAGGGAGAGGACCCGCCAGGGTGGTGTTGCGGATGGTGCTGGGGAAGGGAGGGAGGGGCGGAGGGGCGAGAGGGGTAGGATGGGAGCGGGACAAGAGGGGAGTGAGGGGCTTGGGAAGGCCAAGCCAAGAGCACAAAGCATGGTGTTGCGGATTTTTTAGAATTCTCAAAAGTCATACCAATATGGGCTTGGGGAGGCCAAGCCAAGAGGACAAAGCATGGTGTTGCGGATTGAGGTGAGGGAAGGGAGAGAGGAGAGGGAGGGGCGGGGGGGTAGCACGGGAGCGGGACA